TTACGATATGAAAGATCTTTCAATTTCGCTTTTTAATGATCATTATCTTAAAGGGATGAACTAGCTTTTATCTCACTGTTAAATATGAATTTATGTAATTAGGTGCTACTTTTTACCCAAATACACTGAATGAAAATAAAGAGGAAGATAGAGTGTGCATATATATATATATAGTGATTTTCCAATCGTAGCTTAGATGTAGCACAAGGCCGAAAGTATGGGGCACCCAGTGAGGATCGATCTCACTACTTAGTCATAATTGTTCTAGCGAGACAAGCTTGCTAACCATTACACTGCCTCGAGGTGCCTAAATATATATTTATATAGGAGACATGAGTGAGTTTAAATGTGTCAATGTCTAGACCTCCTCAAGTAATTTTAAGTATAAAAGAATAGAAATTTTAAATTTACATCTAACTCACTCATGTCTTCTTCCTCCCCCTTCACTTCCTCACTTCGTTAATTTACATATGCTTAATACGGCCCGTCAAAAATGTGTAAAGTTTCTTTTCATTTTTTGTTTCAACCTTTGGAAGTAAAGTCTGATGATCTGCTGTCCTTTAAAAGGGCTGTGGTGAAATAATTTATTACATGAAATCTTAACGTGGTCTGTTTTTATTTAATATATATATATATATATATATATATATATAGAGAGAGAGAGAGAGAGAGAGAGAGAGAGAGAGAGAGAGAGAGAGGGAGAGGGGGGCTTACAAAGGAGAGAGACATGGAGAGAGAGAGAAGGACACAGAGAGTGCGAGCGAGAGTGAAAATATCAGGAGACTGAGAGAGAGGGAGAGAGAGAGGGGGGGGGGAGAAGTAATCGTAAATACATTTATTCTCTGAGTGTTTTTTAATATATTCATAGAGTTTAAATTTTAACTCGCTGTACGGGACTTCATTTGCTATCTAAAAAGTTTATCCTGCCACTGAAGTTGACTCTTATCCCTGAACAATACTGTGTTTGAATTTCGTAGTTGTGTTGTCATCTCCTGCTATGGCAACAGAAAGCAGCTTTGAGTGAAATCTATATCTATAAAAGGTAGGATGTTTGTGTGTAACGAATGCACGGCCGCAATTTTCAACGGATTTGCACCAAAATTTACATGCACATTATCCAAGTTAGCGGGAAAGCCAAGACCGACTTTGCATTTCCCAACTCCCATCGATAGTGGAAATAATCGATTTCTTCATGCTTCTACAGCAGTTTTCATGTAGTTTGCGGCCATTTTCTACTGGCCAGAGTGAGAGCCTATAGCTGGCTGTCACGAATAGGCAGGAAGAGTCTATTGGCCAACGTGAGAGACAACTGACACGAATGTTAACTAGCATGCTAGCATGCAAAAAAAAATCGATAGCTGCATTCGTCACAAGTGGGAAAAATTTAAATCTGCATGGCACTTTACTCCAATTGGCTCATTCGCTTGCTTAAACTCAACGTTGATTCTGATTCCGCAGAACTGGTTGGGTGTGAAAAAAGTATTTTTGTTAATATTTTTTTTTTCATTCGGTTTTTTCCAGTTACGAGTCCTTTTAAAGCTGATCGTTTTGTGTTCATTTTGTTTGGTTCTTTTTTCGTAACAGATTTAATGTTTAGTCTAGAGAATAGAAAAAATTCGCAGTGTGAGATAGGCAAGAAGTAAGGCATGTAGCAACATCAGCACGGCAAAGGGCACTCTTTTAAAGACAAGGAAGGGTAAAAATATTTTAAGTCAAGTGATAGCGATGTATGAGTCGTACGATTTTTGAATCAAGCACGGGCAACGCCGGGTCATGCTGCTAGTTAACAATAAGAATACTGCAACTGAGAGGCCTTGAAAAAGAATGCACTGGAAAGGAAAGTAATATTAACCGCTTCCCTGTGGTAGACGTGTATATACGTCTTTGCCGAAAGTGTCTTTATTTCCGGACACGGACGAATAAACACGTCGTAAACGTAACGTTCAAAAGCCAGCTACAGACGTGTTTATACGTCGATCTTGATTCTTTTTATGGCCTTCTGGGTTTGAAACGTGTCGAGTTGTCAACTCACACGTCCCGTAGAGGTGTTAGCCACCGCTCAGGTACTTCAAGGTGACTGAGTTGCAATGTTAAAAACAAATTAAAAAAAATTCGTTTGAAAATGAAACGTTTTTTTTTTCCAAAAATAATTGGCGGGGTCAGAGGGTAATAATGCAGAGGGTTAACAAGAAAATAATTTCGGAATTAAAGGTTATCAGAAACTGAGCAGAAGCGAAAAGAACATTTACATATTCTACAATTAACAAAGTCTGGATATTCTTTGCTCGCCTATTTGCTGTAATTATTTGATCTTTTCGCGATCAGCGTTTGTGATCTCGTCTTCTTCTGGTATTTTTTCTTCTCCACTTACCTGCGTGCAATTGGAGTCTGTATATTTGGTAACATGATTAACGCCATTGAGCATATATTAATATCTGCCAACTGTCTCCCAAAATGTAGACATACGTTGTCGTATTTTTAATAAAAAATAAAAGTCAGGCTATCATCTAAAGCCGGATGAAACGATATATAAAAGAAAAAATGTTACGCTATAAATTTAGATAATTGTTATACTATTTAATTGAAACAAAAATAGATGCAGAAAAAGACTTGTAGGGTCGATTGGCTTGTAAAAATTTGATGTTCGTTTTATGGACATATAAACTCTTGAAGTTAAGAGTCAATTCATTACAAAGTCGTTTCGTTTTTATTTTCTAAAATAAATTAGCAGATGTGCGGGTTGCCTAAACGGCTATCGGCGTTAAGGTTTTGTTCCGATGTCCTTTTGAAAAATGTGACCCAGCACTTCTACCTCCACCTATGGTTAAATAGCAAGGCAGACTAGCTTCCTTCACCTTGAGTGGCAGCTGGCCTTGAAGGAGAAAAACTTTGAATGTACAACTATGGAGAAGCAATACAAAAGCGCTTCACTTTCTTTACTAATAATAAAAAAGGACGTTGTGGAGGTGTATGATCGCTCGCGTCCTTGAGGCAAATGGCATATTTTTTTATAGACACTGAATTCATTTTTATATATCTGTGCGTCAGTAATATATATATATATATATATACTATTTACATTATTCGGACTATTGTCCTCATCTGTGTTGCCATATTTATCACAACGTTTTGGCCGTTGTACGCTCCGTCCTTCTTCAGGTGGTTGGAATGTCGAACTGAACCCTTTATTTCGCTCGCTGGGGTAGACTGTTCTAGTTCCACGTGCCATGTCTAATGGATGTCAGTTATTAGTTATCTCCTGTTAATTCACCTCTCCAAGTTCTCCACTGCTTTAACCAGGTATTGAACTCACACACTTTGGGTCCTGTTACTGGATCTAACTAACACCTTTATCCACTTTGCCATGTGTCCTCAAGGACTTCCTATTTTATGTATCATGGACTCTCTCTAGGCGGGTGAGTCCATCATACATAAAATAAGCAGTTTCTAATAAAGCTGTGGTCCCATAGTTGTAACGTAAGGCGTCTGGATAGGCATGTTGTAGTGTGACCGATGTAATTATTTATGAATTCGGTTTCATCAGGAACACAGTTCCTTAAGGGGCATTTGAACTCATAGACAATGTTCGTTCGTTTTAATTTCTTTAACTGGATCTGTGAATTATATGTATGTTTCTAGAGTTATAGGTATGTTTTATTTTACGAACACAGTCAGCACATTGTGGCCGTTTTTGTTGTTAATATTACTGAGTGCTGACTTTTACTTTTTCATTGTTAAGTCTTCCATTATTTTTAATCTCTTTTTACATGTAGAATAAGTTCTTATGTTTGTATTTTCTACTAATATGTTTCAGAGAGAGTCTGTTAAGTTTGTGTGTGAGTTTAAATTGGTTCTAATAAAGCTGTGGTCAGATAGTTATAACGTAAGTCGTCTGGATAGGCATGTGGTTGTGTGACCAATGTAATTATTTATACATTCGGTTTGATCAGGGACACAGTTCCTTAAGGGACATTTGAACTAATAAATAATGTTCGTTTTGTAGGTTTGATTTTACAGGCGTGTTGTTTTTTTAAGATAAGGCTAAATGTGTTAAATTTTTTTGTAGTAGATAATTTAATTTGTTGTTCAGGTTAACTGGAGTAGTGTATTTCTATATGACATTTCTAAGTGAAAGATTCATCTTCATATATATATATATATATATATATATATATATATATATATATATATATTTGGTTGGATAGATGTGATTTGTACCCCTGGGTTTCACGCTTTTGCGATTGTCTGACGATCGCTAAAGCGTGAAACCCTAGGTCACAAACTCACATCACCCAACCAAAATATTAGCTCTATCTCTGATATTGAGCGCTTTCTAATAAGTACCGCGCATATAGTATATAAATGATTATACATATATTTATTTATATTTATATACACTTTTCACCCACACGCACACACACACACACACACACACACACACACACACACACACACACATATATATATATATATATATATATATATATATAACCCAATGATGAATATTAATTTATTTGGAACAATAAATGTTTAATTTAATTTTAAATATAATCTGCTTGCTTGTAAAGGCAATTAACCCGAAGCTCGAAGATTGAACATTATACATTGATTATTTCAGATAGAAAATCAGGTTATATCGTTACTGCTTCAGGGAGTATATATGTGTAGGCGTGTGCGTGCGTGCGTGTGCTTCTCTGAATGTATTTGTCTTGCGAGTGTGATTCTAGAATAGACACGTTCAAACTCTGCCTCTCTCCTCCTCCCCCTCTCTCTCTAACTTCCAATTTTACATTCAGCATATAATTAAGGTGTGTGTTTGTCTGCCTGTGTGTGTACGCAGGTTAAACGACATAAGGAGAAAGTAGAGAAGAGGAGACTTGTTTACAAATACCTGCTTTAATAGATTAACCATTCGAATATGCATTTGGTATAAATACACAAAATGATATAAATGTATTCACAGATTTAATCTATATATATATATGTGTGTGTGTGTGTGTATGTGTGTGTGTGTGTCTTCATATCTATCTATCTATCTATCTATCTATCTCTGTTTCTTCATATTTATCTATCTATCTATCTATCTATCTATCTATCTATCAGTCTGTCTATCTATCAATGTCTCTTTCATCTATCTATCTATCTATCTATCTATCTATCTATCAGTCTGTCTAACTATCTATCAATGTCTCTTCATATCTATCTATCAATCTATCTATCTATCTATTTCTGTTTCTTCATATCTATCTATCTATCTATCTATCTATCTATCTATCTATCTATCCATCTATCTATCTATATGTCTGTCTGTCTGTCTATCTATCAATGTCTCTTCATACCTATCTATCTATCTATCTATCTATCTATCTATCAGTCTGTCTATCTATCAATGTCTCTTCATATCTATCTATCAATCTATCTATCTATCTATCTATCTATCTATCTATCTCATGTTCTATCTATATCTATCTATCTATCTATCTATCTATCTATCTATCTATCTGTCTGTCTGTCTGTCTATCTATCAATGTCTCTTCATACCCATCTATCTATCTATATCTATCTATCTATCTATCAGTCTGTCTATCTATCTATCAATGTCTCTTCATATCTATCTATCAATCTATCTATTTCTGTTTCTTCATATCTATCTATCTATCTCTGTTTCTTCATATCTATCTATCTATCTATCTATCTATCTATCTATCTATCTATCTATCTATCTATCTATCTATCAATGTCTCTTCTAACTATCTATCAATCTATCTATCTATTCTATTTTCTGTCTATCTATCTATCTATTTCTGTTTCTTCTACATCTATCTATCTATCTATCTATCTATCTATCTATCTATATGTCTGTCTATCTATCAATGTCTCTTCATACCTATCTATCTATCTATCTATCTATCAGTCTGTCTATCTATCTATCAATGTCTCTTCATATCTATCTATCAATCTATCTATCTATCTATCTATCTATCTATCTATCTATCTATCTCTGTTTCTTCATCTATCTATCTATCTATTCATCTATCTATCTATCTATCTATCTATCTATCTGTCTGTCTGTCTGTCTATCTATCAATGTCTCTTCATACCTATCTATCTATCTATCTATCTATCTATCTATCTATCTATCTATCAGTCTGTCTATCTATCTATCAATGTCTCTTCATATCTATCTATCAATCTATCTATTTCTGTTTCTTCATATCTATCTATCTATCTATCTATCTATCTATCTATGTTTCTTTATATCTATCTATCTATCTATCTATCTTTCTCGCTTTTTAGATACTGGTCTGGCGATTTTCACTTTTTTATGGAACCCTTGAAACAGTTTGAAATATATATATATATATATATATATATATATATATATATATATATATATATATATATATATATATATATACACACACACACGTGTGTGAGGGTATAATTTATATAAAAAAACACTAATAAATGAAATAAAATGTTTTAACATTAATTAAAAAATGAATAATATGCTTTTTTCGAAATCAATGAAAATTTAAAATCAGTTAAAAAATAAGCCAAATAAGATATATTAAAAAAAAACAATTAAAAGTTAAACTGAATTAAAATTAAAACGAAACATATTTAAAATCAATTAAATATTAAAACAATTAAATATAACTAAAAAAAAGTTTTAAAAGTCAATTAAATATTTAAATGAATAAATCAATTAAAAATTTTATCATGTAAAATAAGTTAAATAAAATGCTCTTAAAATTAATCAAAAATTAAAATCAATTCAAAATAAAACGCTTTTAAAAATCAATTTGTAAATTTTCTTGAAAAGTAACCTTAGTGTCAATTTTTCTTTCCTTTTTTAAATCCCATACCCCGTGATGACGTACGTGATGAGGCTCCTCAAATTTTCATTCATTTATTATCTGTGAATTGCCATGACTTCTTGGGAAAGATAGTGGAGTAGTTTCCCGTTATCCTCGCCGTAGATTTTCAAGAACAAATGGTGTAAGTATATTTTGAGAAAAAATCAAAACAATCTTCATTTTTAAAAGGATAGTTAAGCGAAAAAAAAAACACACCAAAAACGCTACTGAATAAAATAAAAAGCTCAAAGTGGATTATAACCACGTGGATGAAGGCATTGGTTTGTGGATTTAGTGACATAATAATTGTGAGTTCAATCCCTGGCCCGGGCAGTGGGTACTTGGACTCTGTTGAAATAGGACGAGAAATAAGTGAATAGTAATAAAATAAAGAACTAGAGGAGTTTTCCCAAAACGTGGAAGGTGGATGTAGAACACTCTAGCTCATAAATTAAATAAAGTGTTAAGTTCCAAATTCCCTATAGGTTACCCGGATCAACATACACCTGATGAAGGCTGGAAGGCATACCGGCTGAAACCACAACAATGTTAAGCTGTATAGTTGTCCGCATGTAAATAACGTAAAAAAGAAGAATAAAAAAACAATTAAAAAATCCACTTGTAAAATTTCATGAAAAGTAAATGTAAATGTTTTGTTTTTTGGGTCTGTCTATATTTCTGAGATGAGGTAAGCGAAATAAAGGGTTCAGTTCGACATTTCAACCACCTGAAGAAGGCCGAGGCGTACGACGGCCGAAACGTTGTGATAAATATGGCAACAAAGATGAGGACAATAGTCCGAATAATGTAAATAATGTTTTGTTTTTTTGTTTTTGTTCTTTGGTTTCTTTAATATCATGTCCATTCAGGGCCTACGCGTTCATGCCTCTTTACAGATTTCTTTTCTTTATTATCTGCGAATTAGCATGAATCCTTTGGAAAGACGGTAAGGTCGCTTCCTGATGCTTTTTTTAATCATTTTGAATTCACAGTTTTCCTTCTCCTACACCAGCAACCATCTAAGGCTAGAGATGTCATGTCTAAACAGCTATTTAATCCGTAGTATAGGGGAGAGAAGAAATGGCCTAATTTATAAGAGCATTAGCTCGAAAAGAAGCGCAGTAGACTACAATCTATGGATTCATACCTTTCCTGAGGCTATTACCGGAAAGTGAAAAGTTTCTCCTTTAACATTTAACAAAGTCTTTGTTTACTTATTTATCATTGTGATCGGTGATATAGTCCGATTTTAATTAATTTTTATTGGATTGATTCTTTAATTGCTGATGTTCCCAGGTCCACCCTGATCCCGGGTAGTAACACCTGTTAGGGTCCCAGCTATGGGCAAATAGTTAACTTGGATCAAAACACTATGAAAGTGAAAATAGGTTTTAAAAACAGCAATAAATTTTTTGAGGAATAAATATTACAAGGAAAAGATTATTACCAGCAAAACATTTTTGAAGGAAAAATATTACAAGTAATATATTTTTGAAATAAAAGTATTACAAGCAATATATTTTTGAGGAAAAAATATTACCAGTAATACAAATTTGAAGAAAAAAGTATTATCAGCAATACATTTCTAGAAAAAAATGTTAACCAGCAATAAAAATCTTGTCGCCATTAAATAACCCATTGAGGTTAATATACCGTAAAACAAACACATCGAACCAATCATTTTAATCGGCGATATAGTTCGATTTTAATTCATTTTTATTGGATTTGAACGTGTATAATTATTTCTGAGAAGTTCGTATTTTTTTTTAGATCATATGATAACACACATCTCTTTTTTAAATTTTCAACTGCTTTTTTATAGCATCTAATTTTTCGTTTTTATCAAAACATCGAAACTAAATCACTTGCGCCATATCTTCGACCGTATCAAACTCTTCTTCGCGTTTTATTTGATTCATATCAAATTTTGTCGTACGTTAAAAGCTCCTTAAACAGTCAGAGCAGTAAAATTAAACACTGTTTTAGACATCACTTGAGGTATTTAATCCACTTGCAGGATAATTCTCCTTAGCTAAACGAAAAACGGATTCATTAATTACGAGTCCGTTCGATCAGCCTGTTTTGACATTCGAAGGATCTTATCTCTGTTTTATTGTTTTTTTTTTTTTTGACATCTTGATTAAACAAAATAAATAGTCATTTAAACAAAAAAATCGATATTTTTTCGTTGATTTTAAATTTCATTCAAACGTTGAGACGTAATCAGGCGATTGTTTATTTAATGTAGATTTAATAACCACAGTTGGAATTATGGGAATTGATATCAATATTTTTTTTTTACGAAATTGACTTATACAGATGCCATAGTATTTCAATGGATATTGTAAAATTGTATTCATATGTATATATATATATATATATATATATATATATATATATATATATATATATATATATATATATATATATATATATATATATTTTGGCTTAAACACTAAGTATTTTAAGCCTTTTTATTATATCCTTAATCTGTCCTGAGTTCTGCCTGGATTCTATCCTCTTGAATTATTTTTATACATATATATGTATGTGTATGTATGTATGTATATATATTTATATATTTTAGATATATGATTGCATATGTATGTATATTTACCTCTAAAATTATCAATCTGTATATATATATATATATATATATATATATATATATATATATATATATATATAAAGAGAGAGAGAGAGAGAGAGATAGAGGATAGATAGATAAATATCAACAGACAAAATATATATATATATATATATATATATATATATATATATAGAGAGAGAGAGAGAGAGAGAGAGATAGATAGATAGATAGATAGATAGATAGATAGATAGATATAAGCAGATTGAGAAAGTAAGAAAGAAAAACAGAAAGGAAACGAGAAAGAAATTGCATCGATCATTTTACGAATATTGATTGATTGAAATCTATATATTCCACGCCCCTTTTAAGTTGCAGGTTGTAAAAATAATGCGACTAGATGCCACTTGCAGATTACACGAAGCTCCGAGACGTTAATTAAGCTGACAGAAATTTCTGCCATCAAAATTTTCCTGCAGTGTCCGGATTAAAAACAAATGGATGTGTCTGCGTTCGCGCTTTTTAACCAGTAAATATTTTTCCGTCTTTAAATTTTGATATATTAGAGTCAAAATGATAAATTCCGATAAGAATCCCTCTTTATTTGTATTGCGGTAAAATAACAAGTATTATTACATTTAAAGATGATCGTATATATATATATATATATATATATATATATATATATATAAAAATATGTTGTAGTGGTTCCAACGAGAGAAAAGTATGTATATTAAAAAAGAAGAAGAGAGTGCCGCTAACTTTTTTTGGTTGTAATGTAAAATTATTTAGAAAAATATTATATTTTATTTTAAATAAAATTATGTAAAATTATTAAAACAAAAACATAATATTTTTCTAAATAAACCAACATTACAAAATCCAAAAACGTTTCTCTTCTTTTTTTAATATATATATATATATATATATATTTAGTTTATGAAAAACTAGGTAATCCGTATGGGTAAACCGAAGGAGGATAAAATCCAGAGAGCTCAATGTAAATCCAGAGCAAATAATTTAATTAAAAACAAACCACTTTAAGGTGTCATGTAATAAATTATTTCACCACGCCCCTTTTAAAAGGACTGCGGATCATCAGACTTTAAAAGGGCTGTGGTAAAATAATTTATTACATGGAACCTTAAAGTAACCTGTTTATTTTATATATATATATATATATATATATATATATATATATATATATATATATAGATAGATAGATAGATAGATAGATAGATAAAGATGTATAAAGATATACACACACACACACATATATATATATATATATATAATGGATAGATAGACGTATAGATCGGCAGAGGATACAATGACAGTGAGCTGTCAAGGATCAAAGATCAACATGTCGCTTACTAGACTACGTGTATATTCTGCTGTAAAAACTGATATACACTCCCAATACAACCATACACATACATGTGGGTGCGCACACACACACACACACACAACTATTGGGGCCTGAAGATTGAGTTCAACCATGAAACAGACTGTCGCCAGTCGGAGTTGACATGAGTCGCCACACTACTTACATTTACACATGCTTTATCCGGGATCACAAGAAACATTATCCTGCAATCACAGCATACATTGAAACTATATTTTATCTCATATATATATATATATATATATATATATATATATATATATATATATATATATATATATATATACAGAGAGGTAGATAGATAGATAGATAGATATTGAAAGACTGAGAGAAAATGATAGAAATAAATGTGATATATATATATATATATATATATATATATATATATATATATGTATTATAAATTAATTGATTTAAATATGTCTTATTTAATTACACAGTTCTA